TTTTTTTTTTTTTGGCACTGAGGATTGAACTCAGGACCTTGTGCTTGCCAGGCAGGTGCTGTGTCGCTGAGCTACATCCCCTAGACTTGAACTTTCGATCCTACTGCCTCAGCCCTCCAGAGCACCAGGACTGTAGGCATGCACCATCACATCCAGCTTCCCCTTTCTCTTCTAAAGGCGAAAGGCCCACACAATCTTTTCAGCACCGATTTCTCATTTTCACCAGGGATTCACAGAAAATTCAGCCTCTCTGCTGTTCCTCCCGCACTCTCTGATACTGTTTTCTCTTTTTCTTTTTTTGGTACGGGGGATCGAACTGGTGACCTTGCGCTTGGGAGGCAGGTGGCAGAACTACTGAGCTAAATCCCCGGCCCTGCGATCGTTTTCTTGACCTCTTGCCCCTCTGGATGCCTCTCCTACTTCCTGCCCCAGCCTGGGCCCCAGGGGTCCCCATATTCCTTTAATCCAAAGTTTCAAGGTCTCTCCAGAGAGGAGGGAGGCAAGGGCCTGTGTATGAGGACCAGAGCATGGCTGGGCAGCAGGACGGACAGGGACCCTGCCGTCACCTCTCTGAGGTCTTTTGCAGGGTGAGTATAGCGGCTACTTCAGGAAACATGGCCAAGTTCGCCCTGAACCAGAATCTGCCTGGTGAGTGTGCAAAATGGGATGTGTGTGCACAGCCCCCAGTCGGTGCACGTGCGTGTGTGTGTATGTACACAGCCTTGCAGTTCCTTCCTTTAACATAGTGGCCAGATGGCCCTTTCCAAAGGCCCCTTGAAGAATGTCATGACCCTGCTTAACACCCAGCCATCGTATGTGGGGTAAAACTCCAACTCCCCACAGTCGGACCTGTCCCCATCTTTCCAGAGCCCTCCCTCGTCCCCCCCAGTCCGCAGCGGCTTCCTTCTTTTTTGTTCTTGTTTTGGTACCGGAGATCGAACTCGGGTCCTTGAGCTTGCGCAGCAGGCGGCGAAACCACTGAGCTAAATCCCCGGCCTTAGCTGCTTCCTTTTTTTGGTTCTTTTTTTTTTTTTTGGTGCCGGGGATTGAACTCAGGACCCTGCGCTTGCAAAGCAGGCGGTGGAACCAGTGAGCTAAATCCCCAGCCCAGCTGCTTCCTTTTTATTGTTCCGGGCTCAACTCTAAGTCCCCTCCCCCAGAAACCATCCCGGCATTACAGCCGAAGTCTCGCCCTGTCCTGGGATTCTCTATTTGCTCTTTTGCCCGCACCATCATTTGGAGCGATCGTATTTATTTATGTCTCCTAAAAAGGGCAGGGATGTCTGCCTAGTTCCCCGCTGTGTCCCCAGGGTCTACAAAACTGCCGGGCACCCAGCAGGTGCTCAGCAATCGCGTGGCCTCCTGAGTCCCTGCCTGCAGATAGGAGTGCCGGCCTTGGGGGCGGCGTGCACGCGAAGGCAGGTGTGCAGGGCTCGGCGGAGCCGTGCAGGTGCCTGCTGGGGCCGTGGGGGACGCTTACTGTCCCTTCTTTCGGGGTCTCCTTGGCCTGACCGCCTCCCGGCCCCGTCCTGCCCGCAGATTTGGGCGGCCCTCGCCTGTGCCCCGGCCCGATCGGGGGCGCGCGGAGCCTGAGCTCGCCTTACTCCGTGGAGACGCCCTACGGCTTCCACCTGGACCTGGACTTCCTCAAGTACGTGGAGGAGCTGGAGCGCGGTGGGCCCGCCGCCCGCAGAGCCCCCGGACCCCCGACCGCGCGCCGCACCCGCGCGCCCCGCCCGGGCCTCGAGGGCGCTCGCAGCCCAGGCGCCTGGGCATCCAGTGAGTCCCTGGCCAGCGATGACGGCGGAACTCCGGGCGCGCTCTCCCCCGGGGCGCTCCCGGGGCTCCAGTTGCCACCGCTGTCGCCACGCGCACTCGTGCGCAATGTGCGCGTGGAGAACACGCTGCTGGAGACGAGCCGTCGGCTGGAGCTGGCACAGGCGCAGGAGCGCGCGCTCAGCCCTGCCCGCGTGGAGCCGCGCAGTCCACGGGGGTCCGGCCGCAACAGCCCCGCCCCCGCCTCGCCCGGCCCAGCGCAGCTGCAGCTGGTGCGCGAGCAGATGGCCGCGGCGCTGCGGCGCCTGCGCGAGCTCGAGGACCAGGCGCGCGCGCTGCCCGAGCTGCAGGAGCAGGTGCGCGTACTGCGCGCTGAGAAGGCGTGGCTGCTGGCCGGGCGCGCGCTGGCGGAGCCCGACGGGGAGGCCGAGGCGCGCCCGGACAAGCTCGCCCAGCTGCGGCGGCTCACCGAGCGCTTGGCCACCTCCACCTCGGAGCGCGGCGTCCGCTGCAAGGCCAGCCCCCGCGCTGAAGGCCCAGATGGGCCGGCTGCAGCGCGCAGCGAGGGCGCACGCCAGGTCCTCGAGGGGGCAGCCGGGACTCCTGGGACCCCCGACGACGGGTCGCCCCAGACCCGGGAGGTGGGCATCGAGGTTGTGCTCGAGACCCGAGAGGCGGGTGCCCAGGCAGCGCCGGAAACCCGGGAGGCCGGCGTGGAGGCGGCCCCTGAGACCGTGGAGGCGGACGCGTGGGTGAGCGAGGCGCTGCTCGGGGTGCCCGCCGCTGCCGAGCGCGAGCTGGAGCTGCTTCGCGCCGGCCTGGAGCACCAGCGCGGGGTGAGCGAGCTGCTGCGCGGGCGGCTGCGGGAGCTGGGGGAGGCCCGCAAGGCTGCCCAGGACGAGGCCAGGGAGCCCAGGGCCCCGCCGTGCAGTGCCGCCACTCAGACCCCTTGGGGCTGTGCGGAGAAGACCACGCAGACTGAGCTCCCTGCGGAGGCCCCTCCTGGGGACAGGGCCGTGGCCCCGGCGGGTGAGTCCTGCCCCTCGCCGAGCCCTGGCCCTCGAGTCGCCAAACTCAAACTCAGTGCCCTCGTCTGGTCCTGCCAGGCACCCTCAAGTCCATCATGAAGAAGAGAAACGGCACCGCTGGCGCCCAGCCCAGCCCGGGACCCAAGAGCCTGCAGTTTGTCGGAGTCATCAACGCAGAGTGCGCGCTTCGCCCCTTCCCAGGGCCACAGCTGCGGGGGCGCGGCCGGAGTGGGCCTCTGGGCCGTCCCGGCTCCTTGGCTGTGAAATGCGGGCGCTCATCGCACCCTCCACTGTCCCCAGGTATGAGAGCTCGTCCAGCGAGGACGACAGCGACAGCAACGACAGCCAAGACGGCGCCCCGAAGCGTCCGAGGAGCAGCTCTTCCGGCTCCGGGGACGACAGCGGCGGGGACGTCGGGGACCCGGAGGCAAAGGCGGAAGCAGAGCCTCAGCCCGGGACCCAGGGGAGGCAAGAGGCGCCCGTGGTCGGGAGTGGGGGCGGCTGGGTGTCTCGGGGTCCCCCTGAGGCTCGCCTGGCTCCTCTCAGGTACGAGCTGAGCCCGCGGTTGCGCGAGGCGTGCGCCGCGCTGCTGAGACAGCTGAGCCGGCCCCGCGGAATGGCCCGCGACAGCGTGAGTGTGGAATGGCCCTCCCGGGTATCCCCCAAGTTTGGTCCTTTCTCACTAGGGACCTCTCCAGACCCTAGGTTCTCCAAACGGTCTCCCCTCTAGACAGGGGCTGAACTTTCCTTAACTCCTCTGAAGGGTGCTGACTGGGGTGCCGAATGCATGCCTGTGATCCCAGCACTCGGGGGGCCGAGGCAGGAGGATCGCTTCGAGTTCGAGGCTAGCCTGGGGTACACAGCAAGACCCTGTTCCACCCCCCGCCCAAGGGCACACTCCAATCCCCAAGCACAGCTCCCAGCCCGTCTTGTTCCCCGACTCCCCAAGGGCAAGCTCGTCTCCATCTTGGGGACCCTGCTAACTACCCCTGTTCTGAAAGCGGTGACCTTCCTTCCTTGCCAGCACTCCGCCCCCAGCCCTGGGTCAGTCGATACCTTTGTCCCTGTCCCTGCAGAACGCGGCGCGCCTGGTGGCCCAGGAGTGGTTCCGGGTGTCCAGCCAGCGGCGCTCCCAGGCCGAGCTGGTGGCGGGGGTGCTGCGTGGGTTGGCGCGCCTGGGACCCCCGCTGCTGACGCACGTGGTGAACCTGGCGGATGACAACGGGAACACGGCCCTGCACTACAGTGTGTCCCATGGGAACCTGGGCATCTCGAGCCTGCTGCTGGACACGGGTCAGTCACAGAGGGCTGGTGGGAGACTGGGTCATGGAGACTGGTAGGTGAGGGTTTGGGCGGAACCAGGCGGGGATCCGGAGGGAAATGCAGACCGGAGATGGCCGGTAGAGGGCGCCGCTGGACCGTTAATTACTTCATGAACGGGTTAACCGCACCCCCGCTGGCCAACGGAGATTGAATTCCGGGCCTTCGCCTAGAGCTACAGCCCCAGCGCTGCTGCTGCTCTTTTTTTTTTTTTTTTTTTTTAAATCAGGATGACTAACACTCCGTAGCCCAGGCAGCGATCCTCTGCCTCAGCCCTGTAAGGGTTGGGTTCACGGATGTGCACCACCACGCCGTCTCCCACCTTCTGGAAATTTTTTTTTTTAAACAAACTTAGAGTAATAGGAATCGAGCACTCTGAAAACTGAGGCAGGATTGCTTAAAATTCAAAGCCAGGCTGGTCTGCATAGTGAGTTCAAGGCCGATTTGAACTATATGTCAGGACCCTGACTCAAAAAACGAACAGCAGCTTGGTGTGGTGGCACGTGTCTGGGTGTGTGAAGACCGCCTGGGCTGGTGAGTGCAAGGCCAGCCTGGACCACATAGCAAGACCTCGTCTCAAAAGAAACCAAAAAAATCCCTCTGCCTCAGCCTTCCAGGGTTGCAATTACAGTCCGCTACACTTAGATCCCAAGGGTCTCTGGCTCAACCAGACACCACCCCATCCCACCCCCAGGCTCACCTTGACTCGCCTCCTTCTTGTAGGGAGAAGGAACGCTCAGCTTTGGGGTACTTGATCCCTCCAACTTTCACTTGTCACCTGGGAAACAGGGTGGCAGGCTTCCTGTGTGGGCAGCTGTGGCAGCACATGCCAAGCATATAGTGAGGGCCAGTGGATGGGCACTGCACTGTGGCCCAGAATCTCCAGGTCCTGAGCTTCCTGACCATCCAGGGCCCTCCCCCCAGGCTGGGGTGCTAACTTCTCTGAAGTAGAGCTGCACACACCGGATATTGTGGACACTGGTTGAAAGCCTACTAGGAGCCAGCCCCTCACTGAGCAGACCGGAAGTGGCCTGGAACCCCCCCCCCCCCCCCCC